TCCTGGCAAAGAGTCAGTTGTTCCAGCCGACTCTGCAGAGACACACAGGCAGAAAAGAGACAGATCTACCTCTTGCTAATGTGAGCTGTCACTCATAGCACAATTTTAATGTGCTAACAATTAGAGGAATTCCTCTCAACTACAGAGGTATGGGGAGGAACAGTTGGATTAGGGGTAGAAAATACCATCTTGCTCTGTGACATGATCATATTCTTGGCCTCTGGAAACATGAAGTTAAACTGGTCCAAATCAAATGATTTCTGAGAGGTAGTATCCATTGGTCAAATATGCTCATTTCTTTTTCCTGGCAGGGGTGCCAGAGAGGGAAGGCTACCAGATGCTGCTTGGTACATTATCCCTGAGTATGTTTAGCTTCCCTGGGACCTGAGGTGTTCAGCTGTTTTCCAAAGGTGTGCCAGGCTGTTTTATGTGACAGGGGATGCAGCCAAGCTGATCTGGTCCCTGCCCTTTCACAGTGCAGGGCAGGGCCATCGCTAGCAAGTGTGGCGAGGAATACACACTCATGAAAGCAGGAAAAGGGGCTCAGATCACATCTCCTTGCAGGTAGCAGGTCCCCTCTGCTGGGGAATCTTAGTGCATCCCCTCATACACCCCCAATTGAAAGCTCTTCCTCTATGATCTTTTAGTATTTGTGTGTGGCTCTGATATGGTTGCCACCAAAAGGGAATTCTGTAGTTCCTGTAATTCTGGGGTCTTCAAGTACAGGGCCACAGTCCTGTTTATGTTCCCAGAAGCCAGCCCCGATTGTGCATGGAACAGGTGCATGATACTATGAGTTAGGGCTGGGTTTGTTTGCCAGGGCCTAGTTGATGCTGGCACGTTTAGGTCACTCCAGCTGAGGCCTAGGCTGCCACTGCCACCTAAACTTCACTAAATTTGTAGGGAATTTTGGTCCTAAATAGAACTGAATGGGCTGCAATGGAAGATTCTTTGTATCAATTTGGGTTTGAAGAGGAAATTAGAAGTGCTCTGTGATCCGAATACTAGATTTATTGTAGGGAGTGGGTTGTATGTTTACACATGGGAGCTGTGAAGATGGCCTGGTGGTTGGTCAGAGGACTGGCAGTCAGTAGAAAAGCTGAATGTAAAGCAGAGTAAAGAAAAACTGGATGATGCAAAGACGTAACAGCCTATAAAAGCAAAACAGATCTCAGGGGGGCAAAAGGGAACCTGCATCTATTTCTTACCACCTTCATGAGGACGATACAGGGGCCTTGTCCAAGAAGCTGGCATTCTTTGCCATACTTGCACATGTGTCAGCCCCAGGATTTGGTGAAACTGAGGGAAAAGATCCAAGTAAAATTTGGGGTTGCTGAGAGCCCCCAATAATGAGATGATGGGCAGATCAGCTAGTGTGTGTAAGCAGAGACAGGTTCTTAGCTTCAGAGCACAGTGGCTGTCATTTTACCTGTGTCTCCCAAATCGCTTTCCAATTTCCTTTGCAGTCAATCCTTATCCAGAGCCACACAGGGAACAAGGAAGGGCTGGGAAACACCATGACAACTTCACCAAGTTGTCACAGTAGAGGGCCCCAGATTCGACCTCTCTGTTGCATTATTAACATTCGTGATAGCTGCAGATGTTTGTGCCAAAGTAATTTATTGTGGGGAACTTTGGAAAGAGACTTGAGCCTTTTTATTGAAACCAATGATGTTTTGAGTGACAGGAAAAGATAAAGTAATTTAGTAGTTCATGTCCATGAAAACACTTTGTGGTCAGTGAATTCTATTTATTTTTGTTGGAGTAAAGAAGAGGAGCAAGGAGAAGACCAAGACTGGAGCAGAATTAAAGATTTCTGCAAGTCAAAAGAAGAAAGACAAATACTGGATAATTTCATTCATGTGGAATACAGAGAAACAAAGGAACTGAAAATAAGAAACCAAAACAAACCAGAGAAATATGGTTGTAGAATTGAGGCTACTAGAAGGGGAGGGAGGGTGGTTGTGGAGGCACACAGGGGAGGAGCCTGGTGGTCTAGGGCAAGAGATTATAGTGCTTTGAAGGTGAGAGTGAGGTTGGTAACACGAATCTGAGGAGGTGTGAACCTACTGCCCTAAATCACACACAGTATTGCAAACCAATGTTACCTCAAAAAAATACAAATCTATAGATACTGTTAATACTATCTTCTAAAAATTTTTCTTTCACCTGGCATTTTTTTTTTTTTCTAATTCAGTGGAATTGGTTTTGTGCTTGGTATATAGAGGGAATTCCTTTTGTTCATTCAGAATAATAAATATCCTAGTTCTGTTTATTTAAAAAAAATCTTGGGTTAGAAAAGCTAACTTTCCATTACAAGTGTGCTGGAAGACTGTGCTTCTAGAAGGAGCAATCCAGGTGGCTTTATACGAACAATTAAAATATCTAAGTGCTGGCAGGGATGGCCAATGGGGAGCACAGTCCTGCTAGGGCTGGAGTAGCTCAAGAAGTTGGAAATTAAACAAAAGAAGCTGGAAAACTATTTTTATGTGAAAATTAAGTAAATGATCATTTGTATAAATATTCTATATGTGCTTTAAAAAGTTATTTTGAATACAGGGTTTTATATGGGTCCATAAGATGAAGCTCGCTGATCACGATGTTTGAATTAACTACACCTTTCCTGGATTTTTTGTTTATTCTATCAGCTACTGTTAAACTTTACTATAAGATGAAGACTGATGGATTTGCCATTTAGATCAAAGAAATTGGCTCTGTATAATTTGAGCCTATGTTATTACATACATAGAACTTTAGAAATGTTACGTCTCTCTCAAACTCATGCCATTTGCTGCATCATGGATGGAGCTGGAGGGGATTATGCTAGCTGAATTAAGTCGGAAGGAAAAAGGTAAATATTGGATGGTCTCACTTACATATGGACTATAGAAAACCAAACAAAAGGTCAAGAAAAAGTTACAACTGCAAGCTGACCTTAGATCTAAAGTATACAGCAATGGAGGGGGAAGGCAAAGCAGGTAAGGGAAAAACACAAGGGACTATGGTGATGGTTCACGGGTGATATGGTGGTGGGAGAATTATGGGAACTATAACGATGTAAGAAAAAAATAAGAGGGGAAAAAAGGAGGCAGCTGGGGCACTAAAAAATTCTAATTAGAAGAAATAAAATACACTAGGTCAAAGAAATGTCTTTCTGAATTTTTTATCATTCGAGACATCCTTGTCTCTAGTTCTGCTCTTGATGTTAAGGTCTTTCCCCCAGTTTTATTGCAGTATAATTGACAAACCTTTACGTCTACTTTCACACGAACAGAGACAGCTTCCTCCGGGTGAGTGTTTTCATGGTTTATCTTTTCCATCTTTTTGTCACCTGGTTTTGGAGCTTTGATGTTCAGTTATGTCTGCTCGTTGTTGGGCACATGAAAAAATGAATTGAGGGAGAGGAAGAGTCTGTCTTCAAACTCCAAAAAGAATTTGTTTTTTTGCCAGGTGTCAGGAGATACTCAGTTCCTGCCATTGTGATGATTCAAGCTGAGCTGCTCTCCATGAATGGGGCTGCCCTTTGGAACCCCAGACCAGAGCTAGAGGGTCTTTGTCCCTTGCTAACCTGGAACTTCGATTCCATCACCCTACCTCTGTGATGTTGGAATGCTTCTCAGTCTCATAACACACCTTCCAGAAAATGCAGAAGCCCATAGGGAACAGCTTTCTAAATGCTAAGTTAAGCTCCTTGATTGACAATGACAAAAGTCATTTTCAGCAAAATTTTCTTTAAAAAAGGTCACCCTCTTGCTCATTCTTCTCTGCCCTGCATAGTATTTGCCCCTAGAACATTCTCTCCTGATCAGAGTGATAAAAGCCGACTTCTCTGACTGAAGAATTTCCAGATAAATGGAGACTAACGACACAGTGACAACTAAATACAAAATGTGGTCCTAAAGATTTGGTTGGTTCTGACAAGATTAAGGACACTAATGTGACAATGGACAAACTTTGGATAAGGACTGAAGATTAGATTACAATATTGTGTGAATGTTAATTTCCTGATTTTGATCATTACGCTGTGATTATGTTACATTACATCCATTTCTTGGGAAATCATACACAAGTCTTTAGAGATAGAGGCGCTGCGTCTGCAGCTTCCTCTCAAATGTTTCAGGAAAAAATGTGTGAGTTGGTGTGCGGGTGTGAGCCCGTGCGCGTGCATGGAAGGAGAGGGGATGAACGAGGAAAGCAAGGTAGGAAATTGTTAGCATTGGGACAATCTTGAAAGGCATAGAGGAATTCTTTGTACCATGTCCCCCACCATTTTTGCAAATCTTAAGTTATTTAAAGTAAGATTAATGGGTGTGGGGATGAGGAGCTAATCAGGAGGGGCGGCTGACAGAGAGGGGACTCTGAACTTGGATTTGGAATAGAGGCAACACCACTGGCCCAGAAGTATTCCAAGTCTCTTTGTTGGGTTTCTAGAGAGTCTCAATTCTCCTATAGAAATGAGAAGTTCTGAGTTCAAGCCAGATTTTACCCAAAGAACAATGTCTTTCTCTCCTGGGTAGTCCCCCTGGTTACCTGGAAACTCAGGGTCTCTGTCTTCCCTCTGTCATTATAGGAGCCTATAAAGAAGTCTGCATTTCTTTCTGATTATCTCATTGGGATCCACTATTTGGTTTTTTTTATTTTCTAGGTTAGGCAAGCACTATTCCAACTGCTTTATGTATTCATATCTACAAGACTTTACTTGCTTTGTGCTGTGCTTCCAAGTTCTTTTCCATCTGCTATGTGGTGCTGCTGGGCTCCAGCTCCGAAGTCTCTTCGGGTTTATAGAACTTTCTTTGCCCTCCATTTCAAGCACCTGCTCCACCTTAGATATGAGCGCCCCTTGACGAGTCACAGCTGCTAGTTTTCCTCCATTATTAGTTCTTTCCTGTCTTAGCCTGTGTTGAGTTACTCAACGTCTTTAACTTTAGACCTGGTCTTTTATCTTATGTTCCAATCACTTTTATATATATCTTCCCGGGGAAATGGGGAGGGATGGGGAAGGGGGGGTGGTGAGGGAAGGGGGGCGGGTCAGCGCAGGGAAAGGGGAAACACAGGGAGGAAGGGGGAGACATTACTGAATCACACCACTAAGGGGAGCAGTGGGCAGGAGGAGAGGCCCTCTGCACCCTATGTGGGTTAGCTCCCTGGGCTGGGCATCGAACTCAGGCTGTAGCCGCGATAGCGCTGTAGCTCTAGAGCCTTAACCCACTAGGCCACCAGGGAGACCCATGCTTGCTCTGTAGTTTTAGACTCTTAGTACTCCTCTGGCGGGAGCATGTCTGCTTTGGCAATGGTGATGCAAGCACTTCGTAAACTCGGCATCCGCAGGTGTAAGTCCATGTCCTAAGAAGCATAAATGACGTGGTCTGGCGTCTAGCTTACTTGGGAGCCTGCATTCAAGTGGTCCTCAAATTTAAAGTCAATGTGGCCGGTAACTGGTGCTCCCATCTGGGGGTGCCGACTATTGTGCACAGGCACGAATATCTTTCACCTGTAGTCTTCATTCAGTGGCAGGACCTGGAGACGAGGATGGAAATGATTTAAAGATACAATGTGATATTTTTCTCCCCTCCACCCGCCCCCCCCCCCCCAAAAAAAAAGCACTTTTTGGTTGGTTTGGTCTGGGCGCCCACCACCGCCCGAGATGCCAGAGCCTGGCCTAACCTCAGCGGCCTCACGTGTAAGGTGGGAGGGACCTCCAAGGCGTGAGTTGGACCAGACGGTCTTGATGCCTGCAGTATAAGCCCTTGGGGACCATGCCATTAGGCTAACCAAGGGGTGACAAGAGCGTCCCGGTTCAGGCAGGTCTGCCAGCTCCTGGGTCCCTTATTGGCTCTTTAAGGTTTTTTCCTGAGAGAGACGTGGCTTCCACTTACATCTCATTCGCTGTGCTGTACAGTGCCACACTGCACCTGGCGGAGGTGAGGTGGAAGCATTTATAGCGCCTCTTATGGGCTGCCACCTTTCAGCAGGTGAGAGAGATTTAAGTTTTAGGAGCTCAACATAAGGCAGGCACCCAAAAAGCCAAGATGAGGACTGCCACCAGGGGCAGAGTTAGAAAGCCACGTTAGCAAGATTCTCAGCATTCCCTTCCCTGAGACCTCCCTGTCGTCTCACTCCTGTGTGTCCCCTAGGAATGGCTGCCTTCACGTTCTTTCACTGTTACTTTGTGATTTTCTGTTAGAATATCTACCTGCTTCTACATGTGTCACAAATGTTCACTGGACACTACCTCACCAGAGGGTATCTGTTATTTGCCAGGGACTGCACTAGGTTCTGGGGTGTAAGGACAAGTAAGACTTTGGGTCTGTCCTATTGCCATTTCCTGACTTGACCTGGAAACAGATGCTTAAAATTTTGAGGGTGAAGAGAGGCCACCTGGTCCTGAGAGGATGTCAGAGAAGAGGAAGAAGTGTGGGGAAGTCTTTCTGATCCATGCAGACATGCTTCAGATTCCTCAGTCATTATTCTCGTGCCTAAAAAGAGGGCAGAGAATATAAAATGTGCCTGTGGGTGAGGTGGCAATGTCATAGTTTAAGGGCTATCAATGTGTCTTATTTTTGCAAACTGACATTAGGCATTTGGTACAATAGCAGGAATACTACTTACACTTGGATGACACTTTAAGATGCCAAGACAGGTAGCTTGTGGGGTCCCTTGAAAGTCCCAACTTAGAGTCTGATTTTTTTAATTTAAATTTTATTTTTATATTCCCCATACAATTACACCCCCCTTATTTTGACCCCAATCCCTCCTTTCCCCGCCCCCCAACCCCCATAGAGTGTCTCTGGTTCATAGTTTTTTGATGATTTTGATGTTTTCTTTCTTATAGTTATTCCTTTTCCTGGTCCCTTATTTAAGTTTTCTAGATTCCTGTTATGAGTGAGACCATCCGGTATTTTTCTTTTTCTTTCTGGCTTATTTCGCTGAGCATGATCCCTTCCAGCGCCATCCATGTTGCTGCAAATTGCATGTGTTTATCTTTTTTGAATGCTGAGTAATATTCCATGGTGTATATGTACCACCTCTTCTTGATCCAGGCATCTATTTTTGGGCATTTGGGTTGTTTCCAAAGCTTAGCTATTGTAAACAGTGCTGCTATAAACATAGGGGTGCAGGTGCTCCTTGGAATTGATGTTTCTGTGTCCTTTGGGTAAGTACCTAGGAGTGGAATTGCTGGATCATATGGAAGCTCTATGTTTAGTAGGTCAAGAAATCTCCACACAGCTCTCCAGAGTGGTTGGACCAGTTTGCACTCCCACCAACAGTGCAGGAGAGTTCCTTTTTCTCCACACCCTCGCCAACATTTGTTGTTGCTAGTTTTTTTAATATGTGCCATTCTCACTGGTATAAGATGGTATCTCATGGTAGTTTCGATTTGCATTTCCCTGATGACAAGTGATGTTGAACATTTTTTCATAAGCCTGTTGGCCATTTGCATTTCCTCTTCAGAGAAGTTTCTTTTTAGCTCTTCTGCCCATTTTTTGACAGGATTACTTTCTTTGTTTTTGTTGAGTTTCATCAGCTCTTTGTAGATTTTTGTGATCAGTCCTTTATCAGTAGTGTTGTGTGCAAAAGAGTCCTGATTTCTTACCCAGGGCACTTCCCACTTGCTTTTGTTTGAGACTACCTGCCTGAGGCTCCCACAGTTTTGAGGGGAAGAATTTCTCTCTACTCTGGATGGATGTGGGCTAAGTCATGTTGATTTCATCATAGCCCTTGGTTTTGCCCAGAGTCGCGATCTCTCTTTTCTCTCCCTTCCTGTTGGACTATTATGAGAATGAACAATGTAAGTTAAGAGCTACTCTTCCAGGGTTACCATATACCCCCAAGGAGTTCACAGCTGCCAAATGGATGCTCTGCTGACTCACAGCTGCAGGTGGGTAGCCAGCTCTGCGTGGTGTAATTATCATGAGCTGCAGCAAGATGGCAGAATGAAGGAAACTGCTGGCTCCTGTCTCTCTCCGCAGGATTCTCGTCTGCTGTAACTTGCAGCCAAGAAAGGGGGATGCTGATTTTCTGGGGCCAGTACTTGCACATGTTGTGGATGCAGGCCAACCTTGTCATTTTCATTTTCTAGTGTTTGGAAAGATTGTTGGCCTTGTGCCAGCCTTCCATTGATTAAATGAGATAATGTATGTAGAGCCTTTGGTGCATAGTAAGTGAGCAGCAAATGGTAACTGCTATAATAGTAATAATTATAGCAATAATAATCTTAAAAATCACTGTAATAATAGAGCAGCAGTAATAGAGCAATAGTGCTTAACAATGATGGTAATAATACATAGAATGATATATCAATCAGTGTGGCATGAGAGGGGATGTGATGGGTGTGGTTTTTCCCAGTAGGAAAGAGTTTTATCAGTGACATAATAAAAAGCAGGCTGTGTGAGAATTCTCTGTAAAGTTTGTTGGTAGGATGAATTATTTGCTCTTTCCAGAGTTCTGTTCACCACAGATGTTGAATACTGGTGAAAACAGACTCCCCAGCTCTGTTGTAATCTAAAGCCACAGGTTGTAGTCTTTCTGTGGCTCTTCTCTGCTGTGAAACAGCTGCATTTTCTCCACTCTGTGGCTGCCTCTGGGTGGCTGGGCTGTCAGCAGCCCCCTGGAGGGCATCTACCTGCGCCTGGGGAGATGTGCCCTAACACTGAGACAAAATCAGGTCTTGTCCCTAGGTCACTAATGGTTGGTTTCCTTTCTTTTGCCTAATAGAAGATTCTCTTTCCTTTGAGTAGGAAAATGCCCAGCTAATCAGAGAAGTGGAAGTAGACAAGGTCACCATGCTCTCCAGGGACCAGGTGGAGGCCATCAAGCAGCTGTGGAACGACCCAGGAATCCAGGACTGTTACGACAGGAGGAGGGAATATCAGCTATCAGACTCTGCCAAATAGTGAGTTCAGAGCCCACAGAACTTTCAGGCCAGTGTGGCCGTTCATCAGAGCTTACTGAAGAGAAATGAGCTGTTTGCTAAAAGGCAGGGAACTCAATGGCAACAGTACTTCCTCTTGCTCAACTGTATCCCCCCCCAACTTCTTGGTGTAGCTCTTACCACCTCCAAAGCCCTTACTTACCCTGTGCATCTCCGATTGCCTTGCTCAGATCAACCTTTCCATGTTCTGAATCTCTGGCCTTTTGAATGAGAGGCTCAATCAAATGCAGGGGTTCACTTGGTGGCACTCATCTTATTTGGAGTGCTGAAATGATCTGATTTAAATCCATGTCTGGTGTCTATTTTCCTCCTCTGGTTTCCTGATCAGAAGAGAGCAGATGTAATTGCCCTGAAATGTGAAAATCAATGCAATAGGCCCAGCAGTGACTGGTATGGTGCTGCCCTCTAGTGGAGAAAACAGGCTATGCAGGCCCAGCACAGGAATGGAGCCTGTTCACCAGCCCTGTGTTTGACTCCCAGCAAAGGCCAACTACACACTGTATTTTGATCTATATTAGCTTTAGTTTTAAATCATTAATCCCTTAAGGTAAAAATAAACAGATGGCTGTGCATGCAAACTATCCCATACACATCTTTTAAGAAAATGACAGCAGTACCTGTCAGGTCCCTGAGCAAATAATTTAATCATGGTACTTCTTGAAGAGGTGATGATTCTTGTTTCTGCAGCTCTCAGTGCCTTGCACCTTTCCTCATGTAATCCTTTCTTCTTTGAGAGCCATAATCCTTCCCAAGACCTGTTCCCTTCCCTTCAGTTGGTCATAGCCTTCGGAGCTGGTATAGGTGGGTGTTTGTCTCCCAAGAACATTTAGGTTCAGTCGAAGAGCCAGCAGCAAGAGGAAATAAATGGAGCCTAAAAATAATTAGTAAAGTGTTGGATCAGCACAGGAGATAGCTGGAAGAAAAGAGGTGACTTAAGGAAGGGGGCAGATTTGACATCTGGGGAGCTAGGGATGGATCTAAATTGGCCAAGGCATCTCTGGCCCTTAGCTGAGACAGCTGATGTTATAGACCTCTGTGAAGGTCCTGGCAGTTTGCTGGGGCTCTTGATGTAGAATGACCTGGAAAAGAGCTACTGGTCCTGCCAGAGCAGTCAATGGAGGCCTGAAAACTGGGGCAAGTCCCCTGAGAGGAATGTGGGGCGTGGCTAGGGTGTTGGCTAGAACAGTGACAGAGAAAATGCACTCAAAAACCAGAACAATTGTCTAGTCTTAACTGTGTCAATACTAGGGGTATGCATGCATTTCCTTGTCAAGGTCAGTGGTTGTTACCTGCTCTGCTAGTAATAGCTGCTTTTTTGGACAGGCATTTGTTTCACAACACTTCTGTGTATGCCTGTTTTGTGCCAGACACTGCTATGGGCTGCAGGTACAGTCAGTGCTCTCTGCTATGAAGTAACATACTGCCTGATGAAACAAGACATATATCAACTAATCATATATGTGACACTAAGCCCTGGGGTCATGTATGTGGTCAGTGGGGACAGTGCCCCAGAGCTGGCTTCCTGCACTAAGGACTGTATGATGAAGAGCGTCTGTCTATCACCTCTTGGCTCCCTATCATGCCACCTGCTCAGCCATAAGCAGACCTAGGTGGGGGCTGCCTGCCAGAGAAAGCAGGGCCAGCGTTGGTTGCAGGACACTCAGAATCACCACCTTTGCTGTTGGCCAGGGCTTAATTACAGTTGTTTTATTGGAAAATGCCATTCATAAAGGCCTTACGCTTTAGAAAAAGAATTATCATTTAACCGCAGAAAAAAATGATTGTTTTTAACATAGATTAATTTTGGCCATATATTAAAGCCCTAAGACAAGTTCTGGGCTATTTTACATGTCTAATTTCCCAGTGTAACAGGAAAACTTTATTATTTTGAAAGAACTTCTCATTGGCCTGTTTTTATGCCTTTCTATTTTATTAGAGACTAGCATGTATGTTCTATAATGATCTTGGATGAGGAGGCGTGGGGTGGGGAAAAGGGCCTTTAGAGGAAGGACAGATGGGAAGTCAGAGAACCAATTCCAACATCCTATTCCTTCTGGGCCTGCTCTCATCGACTGTGATAAAGCTTAGCTTTCAGGAGGAACAGACGCAGTGATCTGCTTACTTCCCAGAGGGCTTGTGAAGGCTTCAGATTTATACTTTCCAAAACAGTCATAGCTGGGCTGAAGGGGCGTGGCCCCAAGGTGGCTCTCAAAGTCACTGACGGAATCCATGAATTTAAGCAGGGCCCACTGTGGGCTGGGAGTGACTTCCCTGGAGTAGGATGGGCACTTCTCCCTTCTCTAAAACAAGTCTTGTTCTCTACATCGCAGTTACCTGAATGACATTGACCGAATTGCCACACCATCATTCGTGCCAACACAGCAAGACGTGCTTCGTGTCCGAGTGCCCACGACTGGCATTATTGAGTATCCATTTGACTTAGAAAACATCGTCTTTCGGTAAGAATGTCTTCCTGCCATGGTCTATTAAGAATCTGTCCAGGGGCCTCCCTGGTGGCACAGTGGTTGAGCGCTGGGTTGCGAAGCTGCCTGCAGCCTCTGCAGTGCTGGTTCGATCCCTGGCCACTGGGCAAGGGTCCCACATGGCGCACAGACCTCTCCTGCCACCCACTGCTCCCCTCAGCAGTGTATTTCGTCAGTCTGCCTGCTCTGTTCCCCACTCTGGCTCTGGTGAATTCTCTCACCCACCCGCGCTTCTGACTGTACCCAGTGCTTGTATAAATAAATAAATCTTAAAAAAAAAAAAAGAATCTGTCCAGGCTAGGAAGTCCCTAAGTGGATTCTAAAATGTTATTCCCCAAAGAGGTTATATCTCTTAGATATATCTGCTTCTTCACAGGGTATTTGGAATTGTGGCAATTCTCACATGCTAGAAGGGAAAGAGGTCATTTCTCTATTCTCCATAGAAGAATCCCCTTTCTGACATCTGGAATAATTTTTACACAGCTCTGTGTATATTTTACATATAATTATGTCTCTTCCAGGAAGCTCAATAGTATTGCTCATTTATTTTACTCCTTTCTGCAAGATTTATCATTTTTGGTTTTTACTTTTTTAAAAAAAGAACAATAATGTGCACTAAAAAATTGTGCCAGACATATAAAGTATTCATAGCTGTGTCTGTATGAACTTCCATGTACAAACATAGTTCTTTCAGGATGATTTAAGTAGGTCTTCATTGCATTAAATTATGGTCCCCAAAATGAATACTCTGGTATATAATTATGGTCCAGATAGCACTTTCACATCCACTCATTTCCTTTTCCTTCTAGCAGTTGTGATATCTCAACTAGAAAAATGTATAACAAGTCCAGTCCTGCCACATCCAGGTCCTATGTACACCTTAGTGCTTCTGGAAAATTGTCACATTGAGGTGGGGAAGCCCCCTCATTGAGTCCCTCTATGTTGTGCATCTTTGTGAGTCCTCCCCTGCACCTGTGTGCCCATGAGTTTATCTAAACCTTTAACAAAAGTTTTGGAGGCTGAAACCAACATTATCTAGGTGTATTTGATTTGGCCCTTCTGATACTGTAATGAAGCTTCTGAGCCAACATTTAAAAGTCGGAGTCCTTTTGCTTAAAACATTACATAACTAGTTTCTCTCGAGAAGATGGAGCATCTCCTCTGAGAGTCTGGGGTGTTGTCCAGCAGTATCTGGCTACACCATGTAGCAGGCATTCCCCTGCAGGGCCCCTTGCACTCTCCAATAGCTGCTTTTCTACTTCAGAGGCCACTGGATTCTTTCCCATAAACTGTCTGACCTCTGGAGCATTTGAGTTTGTGATCCATTGGCTATGATTCTCTGAAATCTCTCCCAAAGCCATAGGCAAAAGCTTTGGATATCCACATTGGACAAACAGCACTTTGTCTTTCTAGGGATGAAAGGGTTGCATCAGCTAAAGCAGAAAGGATTTATGGATGAATTAGAGGCGTCATGAAAGCTTAGTGGATCTGGAAGACTGCTTTCCTTTCTATCCTTTTGGGTGTGCTGCTCTGGCACTTGACAGTGTTTAGAGCAAAACCCACATGGATGTTTATACTTTCTGCCTACATTGCAGCAGCAGCTTCTTAATGGGTGGAGCCTGCTTGGGGACATCAAAGTGACCTCTGCCTGTTTTCAATAACTTCATTTACATTCTGTGCGTCCTTTGTTAGGAAATAGCCAATGGTGGTTTCCTATGTATGGCCTAAGCAGCAGAACTCAAACATTCAATCTCAGGACCCCTTTAGTAAACCATTTCCATGGTTTGATGAATTCATGTCCCTTCCCCCATCATCATGTATTCCTACCTGTGTCGTAGATCTGTGTTTCTATTGAACAGGATGGTGGATGTTGGTGGCCAGCGATCTGAAAGACGGAAATGGATTCACTGCTTTGAGAGTGTTACCTCCATTATTTTCTTGGTTGCTCTGAGTGAATATGACCAGGTTCTGGCTGAATGTGACAATGAGGTATGTGGCAGGGAATTTAGTTAGCTGTGGAAGATAGAGCTCTCTGCAGTTTCCAAGAAGCAAGCCATGTCTGGTATTAGATCCTAATCCTTAGTTCAGATGGTCTCGACAAAGTGTAGTCTGTGGACTAGGAACATAGGTATTGTTTCTGTGTTAGAAATGCATACCTATTAAATCAACCCAGATCAGATAAATCAGAATCTGCATTTTAATAAGACCCCAGGTAATTCAAACACTCAATGTTTGAGAATCACCGACCTGGAACTCTGGTTCTCAAACTTAAATGCACACTAAAATTCTCTGGGCACTTTAAGAACTTGGAGCCTGACTCCAGCACCAGAGATTGATATAATGTGCTGCTCAGGGCGGAACGAACCATAAGCACTGGTTGTCAGCCTTGTGTGCACACTGGAATCCCCTGGGAGTTTTTTAAAAATACTATCTTTTTGAGCTGATGAGAGACTCAACAAAAACAAAGTAAATAACTCAGTCAAAAAATGAGCAGAAGAGCTAAAAAGAAACTTCTCCAAAAAGGAAATGCAAATGGCCAACAGGCATATGAAAAAATGTTCAACATCACTTGTAATCAGGGAAATGCAAATAAAAACTACAGTGAGATACCATCTTACACCAGTGAGAATGGCACATGTTAAAAAAACTAGCAACAACAAATGTTGGCGAGGTGGTGGAGAAAAAGAAACTCTCCTGCACTGCTGGTGGGAATGCAAACTGGTCCAACCACTATGGAAAGCTGTGTGGAGATTCCTCAACCTACTAAAGATAGAGCTTCCATATGATCCAGCAATTCCACTCCTAGGTATTTACCCAAAGGACACAGAAATAGTAATTCAAACAGGCACCTGCACCCATATCTTTATAGTGGCTCTATTTACAATAGGTAAGCAATGGAAACAACCAAAATGCCCAAAGATAGATGACTGGATCAAGATGATGTGGTACATATACACCATGGAATATTACTCAGCATTCAAAAAAGATAAACACATGCAATTTGCAGCAACATGGATGGAGCTGGAAGGGATCATGCTCAGCGAAATAAGCCAGAAAGAAAAAGAAAAATACCAGATGGTCTCACTCATAGCAGGAATCTAGAAAACCTAAATAAGGGACCAGGAAAAAGACTAATTATAATTAAAGTAAAAATCAACAAGCAACTATAAACCAGAGACACACTACGGGGGGCAGGGAAGGGAGCAGGATCAAAACAAGAGAACGGGGTGGGGTGGGAATTATATAGGGACTATAACCAAGATGAAAATGCATACATTGTGCAAAAATGAAAAATGATGTAAAAAATATATAAAAGGAAAAAAAATAATAAAATACCATCTTTTTGACTTCTTAGTAGTTTGCTTTGGGGGTAACTTTCCCAAGTGCCACCAATAGATGCTAATGCACAGGAAAGTGAGGAATGCTATACCAAATAAGCTTTATTTGAGAAGAGTCTTTATAAACTCTGCAGGCCATGGTGCTCCCCAATTAAGACCCTAGCTGAGTAGGCATGGAGTGGTGTCAGATGCTGGGAGTAGTTCTGGGGTTACCTGGGGTAGCATCTGTCCTTCATTTCTCCTGGGAAGGATATCCCAGTCAGGCATTTGGTATCCTCTACAAAGTTGCCATAGCACTGGCTGGGCTGAACTCCATTAGTTGGATCTGCCTAGAAAGTCAAGAGAAATATGATAATCACTCACTTCCTTGTGAGGTTGGGGGTACCCATGACCTCTCCATTGTCTTCGCCTTTTAGTTTCATGCTCTGGAAGCAGGAGACATCTAAATCAATAAAGAACTCTGTCCAGGATTAGGCATTAAGTATGAACAAATTTTATCTTGTATTTAAGAGCCAACTTTTCTTGGAGTAGTTACACTAGCTAATTAGGAGAATATTAACCCATTTACCAAGTGTCATTGTACAAAGAAGAATAGAAAGCTTGGCTGCAACCCAGCTCTTTCAAATGGAGGATTTTTTTTTTTCTTTAAAGCAAAGACATCAATATGAAAAATTAGCTCTAAATTTGCCTCAGGGATTACTTACGATGTTTCTAGACAAACTCAGAAGATTAATCAGGTGTGTGAAGGACCATGTTCTTCAGTGTTCTTAAAACTTCTTGGGTGTAGATAAGTGTTGCATCTGTTCACTATCCTGTAACAGGATTTGTTTATCATATATAATACTTCCTTGGAGATCATTATTACAATCAGATTAAGTTTTAAAGAAGATTTAAAAACAAGTGAGGGGTTACCTCTCGGGTAATCAATTCCAGATCTTAATCCCCAAAAATGCATTGAGTGTGAGATGAGTCCAGGTATCTGGGAGTTACAGGGAAATGGAGATTTATGGCATGTCTCTGGAGTGCCTATGCTGGATTTTGATGATGTTTAGCCTGACTGCTTCCCTCTTGTTTTCCTCCTAGAAATACTTGAGTGCAGAATGTTACCTCTAATAATTATTGTCACAAGATAAAATCTTTATGTATCCTGCATGTTGTCCATAAATAATGGACATTTAATAATTTACTGCCAATGTCTAATGTTATACTACCCTACATAATTTCTACCAAGTCCGACAATTATATGGCTGTGGTAAAGTACTGAAAATTATGGGCTTGGTAAAGTACTGTGAATATTATGTTCATCCATAACCTAGAAACCCTGTTCCCTTTGTAGAGCTCACCTTTACAAGCACGTAAAGCATGGCACAGAGTCAGTGCTCAACGGGCTCCCTTCTCTGGCATCAAGTCCTTAGAGGCAAATCAGGGAGACCCCTGTGAATATGTTGAGAGACTTTACCACCATTCCCCACCAATGAATGTAGGTAAAACTCATGTTTTTGCCTCACCACTGCCTGGAATACACATGAGAAGGGAGCTGGCGCCCTTTGTCTCACAATACATTTTGGGAATTAAGATCTGGAACTGATTACCAGAAAGATAACTCTCACTTGTTTTTAAAGCTTCATTAAAATTTATTCTGACCTTAATAATGATCTCCAAGGAAGTTTCTATATGAAAAACAACTCCTCTTCCAGAATAGTGAATGGCTGCAATACTTATCTATACCCAAGAAAAAGTTTAATTTTAAGAACACGTTTTTAAGAGTAGTAGCTGGAAAAGCCTAACTTCCTCTCATCTCATATGACTAGAAGTTCAATTGAAGTGGGTATGAAGCTTCTTTTTCTAAGATGCACAACAGCTTTTCTTATATATCTTCACACGTGAGTTTGGGGCTTGAGAAGGGCTGTAGTGCTGTAGGAAAGGAGACCCAGAAGGGGTTAATGCGAGGGGGTGGAGGAAGCCTGGGACCCTGAGAGGCTGTCATGTGAGCACAGATGATGCCCCCGGTGATTTATTTGCATGTTGTTTTCAAAGTACTGCTTTCCTTTCTAGTTTACTCTCAGTCCTTTGTTCCTTACTTAGAACCGCATGGAAGAGAGTAAAGCCTTATTTAAAACTATTATCACCTACCCATGGTTTCTGAACTCATCTGTGATTCTGTTCCTAAACAAGAAGGATCTTCTGGAAGAGAAAATCATGTATTCTCATCTAATTAGCTATTTTCCAGAATATACAGGTAAGCATCCATTCTGTTGACTTTTCTGGCATCAGCACTCTTAAAGGAAGATCATGAACATGTTAAGAGACTTTATCACCCTCCTCCACCTATGAATGGAAGCTCTGCTGGCAACACTCCATGTTTTTGCCTCAGCACCTCCATAAATGCCTCACGTACTGCCTGGAATACACTTGCTAATTCCACTGTATCTCCAAGATTCAGCTCAGGAAGCCCTTCCTGGTTGCCATTCTGACCCAGAATCCCTACCTGCAGTAGGTGGGCTTACCTTGCTCTCTTGGCCTCTGTGTAGTCATGTCTGCTCTCTCCCCAGTCAGCTCCTGTGCCCAGCCGACCTTGGCTCCCACTGCTGGTCGGAGCGCAAGGTACTGCTGAGGTGTGGGATAAAGTATGGCAGCTCCTTGACCAGACTCCAAGGAGATGACCTAGTGAAGATAAGAGTTTATGCCCAATTGTTCACTATTTGTGGTACCTGGAGGTCTTAAATATTACTAAAGCTTGACATTGTCTTTGTACCTTTTACTAACTGCACTGGCCATGTAGAATAATAGAGCCCTCAAGTTATAAAATCAGACTTTGGTCCCTAGTAATGTTAGTTGCCACATCCTTCCTTCTCCCTCTCCAGGCCCACTCCGGTTGGTGTTAATAAGGATTCTCCCTTTTCAAAAGTGGTTCAAATCAGAAAATGACAATGGATCACTTTTTCCCCAACAAAGTACCTTAAACAGTATTTTAAAGTGTCCATGGGGATGTAAAAATTATTTTACATGGTCATACTGAGATTTGAAAACAATGCCCCAGGTAAACTTTCTTCTAGAAATGACAGGTCAAAGGATGACCTAATAATGAGCTACCTTTCGTCTTTATTCCTAACTGCATTCATAACTAGGACCAAAGCGGGATGTCAAAGCTGCCAGAGACTTTATCTTGAAGCTTTATCAAGATCAGAATCCTAACAAAGAGAAAATCATCTACTCCCACTTCACATGTGCCACAGACACAGAGAATATCCGCTTTGTGTTTGCTGCGGTGAAAGACACAATTCTACAGCTAAACCTGAGGGAATTCAACCTAGTTTAAAAGCTGCTACTCACTCCTTGCTCAACTAGAAGACAGGATTTGCAAGCTCCTCTTATTTTATTTGCCAGTGCATCTGACATCACCCAGTCCCATCATGCAGGCTACAGGACAGAGATGGGTGATTAAGCTTGTAAGATTTTGAATTTTATAGAGTTTTACAAAGCCACTGTGATTTTTAATTAAATTTGTGTTTAATAATAGCCACTTCAAAAATCATTCGACTGACAGGCTTATTTATATAGCTCATGCCTTCAGACTTCTAAGATTAATTTGGGTAACTTTTTTAAAAGAAAGTTAATGGGTTTGAAGCTTTTTTATTAAATCTTGTAATTTAGAGACTTAAATTATTTTCACTTCATGATGAAGTATGGTCTTTAACATGTCACCAAAGGTTTTTTTTTTAAACTGTTGGCTAACTTTCTAAGCCAAATTAATGACTATAACAGTACATCTAATTTAGTTTTGCCACAATTTGATCACCATGAAGCCAAAACTGACATAGGGCAAATGAGCTCTAGATAGAATGTGTGATATATTGGTAATGTGTAAGTGTGTATAGTATATATTACAATGTATATGACCCGGTCTTGTAAACTCAAGAAATGGCTAAAGGCCCAAATTGTAATGTCACCCCTGCCAACGTTCTAATGGCCATCACAGATATGTTTGAACCATGTATGAGGCTAAGAATATACCATTCTGCCATTGTACTGGATTACATTGTGTTTCTTTCAGCTCATGATTAATGTGTCAAACTTTTTAAATGTCCTTGTAGTGGACAAAAAATAAACAGAAGTTTGATAATAGATGACAATAAAGAAAACTGAGTAACTCCCTGAAATGGCTACCATGTCCAGCAAAAAAAAAAAAAAAAAAAAAAGATACTGGGTTAGGGGAGTCAGTTATAGGAGGTGATCAGGAAAACAACAGTAAAACCAGTAAAGTTGCAATGCATATTACAGTCAGGTGCCTTCCTCAATGTTAAGATGACACTGTTACAAATGGAGATTTATCACATAAATAAGTCTCTCTTACAAAAAGATAATTTTTACTTTGTATTCAAAGCTTTTCCTGTGTCTTTAAAAATTATCAGCTCAAAATAATGCTTATGTCAAAGAGGCATATTTTGGGATTCCATATTCTAATCCCTTTCAGTCACTTCAAAGAAGTTTCACAGTCCAGAAGCTGAGTTGATAAGACTATTCTACATTATTTCACTGAACCAAGCTCTTAGTCTTGAGAGTACATTAGTGTGTCTGGTGTCAGGGGGCAGTGCTGCAGATGCAAATCAGATATTCAATATGAGGTCATTTCTCTGGAAACAGAAAAACAAAGGTTATTGGCCAAGACAAATTATAAGCACAGTCTAAGTCCCGAGGGCTGTCAGATGTTGGAATCAAATTATCTTTTCCATTTAGAATGCCACTGATGTTACTGGCTGTTCAGGTAAGATTCTGAGTGACCTACACCGAAAAAGGCATGAAAATTATCTAAACATAGCTATTGTGGCTATTTCGCTGGAGTTCGAATCAAGTCGATGCTAGTTTTGAGGAAGTTAGAATTCAGAATCTAATCAAGTTTACAGATAAATAAGACCTCAGACAATGAACAAAACCAGATCTGTTACCTACAAAGGTATATTATACTGTCTACTGAAGCATTATTGTCCTCTTTGCAATTACCCCCATTTTTAAACCAAATGACAGCTAAGCAAATTTGTTTGCAAAATAAATCTTAATATTGACACGAGTGCAGCAAAAAGAGTGACATAGATTCTTTTAAATCTGCTTTGTCGGAACTTCTCAAAAGGAATCTCAGGTTGTAATTTTAACAGTCTAGTAACCCAAAATAAGATCGTGCCATCAAACTTTGCCTGCAATGCTTTTCTAGATTTCTACTCCTTTAGTGATTTTGATCTTTCGTTAGCAGTTTTATAAATCCAACTTTTCCTTAGAGTTCTACAAATACATACCCAGCCCAATGGTATGATTTCAAAGTTTTCAGAAACATGTACTTCTCAGAGTCCTTTCTGTGAATCTCCTTGAAGTTAAAGCACTTTTGCTAAAGTAAAACAACTTCTGTAAATGACAAAAGAATTTTTAAAGTGGCAATGTTTAAAATTTGAAGAATTCATTTTAATGCAAGTAGACTAGGAAATTTGGTTATTTTTGTGACAAACATTTAAGACATTAACTAGAATATCAAAATACTAGGCTATATCAGATTTCTAAGAATTTCAAGCAATTTTTGGAACACAATAATACCAACTATCTATACAAATATAACTAATTGGGAAGTTTTGTATCACTTCTTCTTTGCCAATATTTCCCAGGTAATTTAACACATCAAAAAGCCTTCTTAGTTAATATCTTTACAGAGAGAACACATCTCAAGATGTTCCAGGAGGCTCCTGGAATACCTACAAGCTAATCTAAGGTCAAAATGACTTCATTTAGATTTTAATTTTTGGAATTTTGTAAGAAACATAAAAAGTTTTGGGACCCCTACTACGAGGACCACACACCATTATAAATCGATACATAATTACCGATTAAAGCAAAATAACAATAGAAAAGGGCGTCCCTGGTGGCACAGGTGGTTGAGCGCCACACTGTGAAGCTGTCCACAGCCACTGCAGCACGGGTTCAATCCCCGCAGGCCGGCGAGATTCCCACAGCAGTAGACCTCTCCTGTCTTGCCTGCTGCTCCCCTCAGCAGTGTATTTCAGTCAGTCTGCCTATTCTGTTCCCCTCTCTATCTCTGGTGAATTCTCTCACCCTCCCACGCATCTGGCCTGTACCCCAGTTCTTGTATAAATACATAAATCTTAAAAAAAAAAAAATAACAATACAAAAGTTAAGGCAAATACAGAAGGCTGCATGGTTGTGTGCAAAACTCAGCTATTAATATCAAGAGGGCTCAGCTTTCCCAAGGCAAGGAAAGATCCGATGATGAAAATGACGTGAAGCTTAGAAAATTATTTTAGTAAAACAGATTACTGCTCTCTAGGCAGATTACGCAAAAAAAAACTTCTCAAAATCTTTTATCAGGAGCAGACTGAGAATCTAAGAAAACTTTGTCCTTTTAGCAGATAGAAGAGAATTAAATTTGAGTTTTACATAAGCATATTTTCTCTAAACCCTTCAATTCATTCCATTTAGCCAGCTGAAGTAAAGAAGGTCTCTTTCTCACTTATGACTTTCTTTGTTGTCCTCTTTCCTATTTCTAAAACAAGCTGCTCTACTTTGGGACAAAATTACTCTTTCCATAACAAAAATGTGTCTCCATACAGCACACCTTTTCTTTTATAATTTCTTTTTTTATTTTTATATTCCCCATACAATTGCAACCCACTGATTTAGACCTCAATCCATCCTTTCCCCGCCTCCCCACCCCCAAGTGTGTCTCTGATTCATAGTTGTTTGTTGATTTTGATTTTTTTCTTTCTTATATTCTTTTTCCTGGTCTCTTATTTAGGTTTTCTAGATTCCTGTTATGAGTGAGACCATTCGGTATTTTTCTTTGTCTTTCTGGCTTATTTCGCTGAGCATGATCCCTCCAGCTCCATCCATGTTGCTGCAAATTGCATGTGTTTATCTTTTTTGAATCCTAATATTCCATGGTGTATATGTACCACATCTTCTTGATCCAGTCATCTATTTTTAGGCATTTGGGTTGTTTCCAAAGCTTAGCTATCGTAAAGTGTGCTGCTATAAACATAGGGGTGCAGGTGCTCTTTGGAATTGATGCTTCTGTGTCCTTTGGGTAAATACCTAGGAGTGGAATTGCTGGATCATATGGAAGCTCTACCTTTAGTAGGTTGAGGAATCTCCACACAGCTTTCCATAGTGGTTGGACCAGTTTGCACTCCCACCAGCAGTGCAGGAGAGTTCCTTTCTCTTCACATCCGCCCCAACATTTGTTGTTGCTAGTTTTCTTAATATGCAGCACACCTTTTCTTAGCCAAAAACATTTTGCTTTCTTTTGCATATTTTGAGTAATTTTAATTATATATTAGTATTCTGAACCCTTGAAACTAAAGTGAAACTAAACAATTATGATTTGTGTTACGTACAATTTGCAGATTGGCAAACTTATGAATACAGTTAATTTCTAGGTGTGTGTGCTTCTTCATAGCACAATTTTCAATGTGATATAATGAATGTTTATTAACAGACCCAAATACATTTAGTTTCTCTATAAGAAAAAGCCTCCATTTAAACTGATAACCAGTAAAGTCTCTGTTTATCTTCTTTGGAAATGATCTGTTTATCATTTAACTTAGCAAATTGTTAAGGCTTCAAGTTACTGAAAATATTTCTGGAAGCTATTTGAAATCTTTGAAAAAATATTTCAGACTAGGCATATGTTACAAAACTTCATCATTATAGAAAGGTTCATTACAAGCATTCATTCCACATATATCTGTTTAAATTCACGTGTTTTTAACAATCATTTAGATCACTCTGGAAACTTTTATGAGATATTAAAGTTTGCCATTATATTATTCTAGATTATTTTTCTTGCCAACAGATAACATGAACTTATTTGATTAATAAACCCAGGTAGGGCCTCTCTGGTGGTACAGGAGGTTAAATCTCAGCACTATGAAGCTATGGGCGAGCTCCATCCAGGCCAGGGAGCTGACCCATATGGCGCAGCAGACCTCTCCTGTCTCACCCGCTACTCCCCTCAGCAGTGTATTTCAGTAGATCTGCCTGTTCTGCTCCCCACTCTGTCTCTGGTGAATCTTTTCAACCCCTAACCCCCAACAACTCTGGCCTGTGCCCCAGCTCTTGTATCCATAAATAAATAAATTTTTAAAAGTTAAAAAAAAATAAACCCAGGTAAAGCAAAAGTTATGTCTGTATTACATACAATGCTGACAACTCTGAAAATACTCCTAATTAACTGAAACTAGCTTTTATTTACTAAATATTTTCTCAGATCACATGAACTTGAAACATTTGGGTTTTTATATTTTTGAGAATCTAAATACATTTAATTCACATTAATGGTTATTTTTAAGTTGATTAAATAGAACTCTTTTACAAATTAACTGGCAGTATCATCTGGAAGTAGAAAAAAATCACACATCTACAACATACATACATAGACATACATAAACATTCATACACAATGTGACCTTATAGGTATGGTTCTAAAAGTTAACAATAAATCAGGTATAGTAAGAAAAAACTCATTAGTTCACACAAGAATATTTGGATACAAGTGGTATTTCTGGCAGAAGGTATGAATTAAATGTATTTACTCAGATGGTTAAAACATTTTAAAATCATTATTTGTGGAGAAGACACCTCCTGTACCTAGTTTCCAAATACCTCCTTTTCCTTCTGATGAAAATTATCCTCCCTAAAGTTTGCATTTCAAAGAAATGTTTCTCAGGTCCTAGAAAATATGTGAGTAGAAAGTTTATACCTGGAAAGCACGGATCCCCAGATCCTTTGGGGAAATTCACCTGTTATCAGAGGAGCAGGGTAAGCACTACGTTAAGTTTTTCCTTAAGTGCAGACAATTCTGATTCTAATGTCCCAATCTTTTACAATACTTAACAAGCACCTTGGGATGAACAGAGGTGGCTGTGGGATAGGTAGACTTCATATTGCATCTCAGGTTGCATTTATGGTTTTATAAAAATTCTGAAGGAATTGGTGAACCTGAATATCAGGATCCCCCATCCTTCCAACTATATTATCTTCAATTTATTTATTTATATTGAGAAGATTTCCATTCCAACTAAGATGGGAAGCAAAATATTCCTATACTCCGGAGTCTCAGGGTTTAATGTGGTATGTCTTTGTAAAGTCTATACAAGGCATTCAAAAAAATGCCTTCAAGTGATCTCCTTTTTGAGTATATAATTCAACCTTGGGTGAATTCTCTTTAGGGGAGAAAGGCTCTACTACTGTTCTATCAGCACCTGAATATCAGTCTCACGTAATCCATTTCCTGATCATTGTCATAGATGGCCTCAGAGAAATTCTGGTCATTTCCTATGTGAGGGGGCCATTTGGTTTGTCTGACAACCACTGCATTATAATCATGAGTGTGAAGAAGACCCCCTACAGTCAATCAAGTTCATCTCTGAGTAGGGCTGTGACTGTACATTGATCTTTTTTAAATCCTTTCAAAATATGGATCTTTTGAAAGTGAGGGTTTAAAGGGCTGTGATTCCATCTAAAGGCTAGACGTCAAACTTCTGTGTGTCTTTGATAGAAGGTTAGAGTAGAAAATTTAGGATGGAAGTTTTCACAAAGTCAAGAACCAGAAGTGGGAGCAGAAAGGAATATTGGTCTTTCAGAAATCACCTCAACCTGAAACCAGGGCATGAAATCCCATAAAATAATGGTATGCAATAACGCCCTATGCTCTGGGAAAATGCAGCTATTTACCTGTCTGTGTCTATGCAGGCATCTATTTTTCTTTAATAAAATGGCCACCTGCTGCTATGGGAGACTCTGCCAAATTCATTCTCAGCCAGACCCAAGGACCCTGCACACTTACACTGAACCCTAACACTCTTTTCAATATTATCACTCCATAGGTACAAATAAGACAAATTCTAGAATGAGAGCTAAAAAATTTCTCAGATATAAAAGTCTTCCAAATTCAAAGGCTACCATCTGGCCACAGATGAATAGGAGCTTCAATGGTACATTTATCTCAGTAATGACTCAAACCATTTTGGCTTAGTGCGTAAGATGTGAGCCCAAAGCAGGTGCAAAATACAGAAAGTTCACTTCCAGAGTTAGCCATAAGCAAAGACCTTCATTGTCACACACAATAAGAAGGGGATTGTGAAAATGTCTCCAGTTTCGGACAGGAATACAAGACATTGTCAGTCACACAGCCACTAATCTATGATACCAGGTGGGCACTGCCATGTGAGACTTTCCCAGCAGTGATGAGATGGCAAAGACCTCTTATGAACTGGGACCCTTAAGACAAACTTGCTTGAGAATTGGCATGGCTGGACAGAGAATGCTGATCACTCCATGTCTCAGGTTCCCTGGACTATTTGGCTGCCTGGCTATCGGATACAAGCTGATACTTTCATCTTCCTGCTTGCAGAGACCAGAGAAAGAGTATTCTCATTGGTCACAAAGTGGAGCTTATAAGACATATAACAAATTAAGGAATACCTCAACTGGCCTATGATTCTCTGCCTCATGACAGATGACAGAGACAACAGAAAACAATGCCCTTCTCTAGGAGGAACAGGATCAACAGAAGACAAGAGCGCTCATAACAAAAATCTTTGCACTGCAGTTGTTAGATCCAAGGAACTGATTTACACAGGTATTTTCTCCTGCTAATCTAGTTTTGGGAAGGAAGGGTCGAAGTGAAATTTTTCCCTTCACCTCACATGTCTGGGCACTCCAGACAGACATCAGGGAGAGCAGACTTTGATTAGAATGATTACCCTTTACTGGTTTCTGCCAGTCTTCCAGGATACTGTCCACAGACTCCAGACTAGGGATGGTGTCTCAGTGTTGTGGACTGCCAAGCTGTAGGAGAGGAAAGAGGATTTTTTTCTCCAGGTACTTGGACGAGATCCCTCTGTAATAAAAAGATTAACATGATAAACTTAAGTGTAATATTTATACTTTCTATATATTAGATACCTAGGAAAACTGAGTCAATTCCCCAAAATGGCTTAAGTTATCACCTTCAATACAATTTCTAAAATAGTTTTAAAGACATAAGATTTTGGATTGGGGGAAAATGTCACAGTAAACTAGGGTAAGGTTGTTCCACTACTAAAGTTGGGTGCTGTCTTCACTAATGAGTGTTTCTTGTGATTTAGAGTTACTCTTCTCTTCCTGGTACACAAAGGGAGAAAATGGAGATTTTCCTTATAAATGTACATTTCCCTTTGGCAGGGGTAAGTTCTATCCCATTTTCAGAGCTTTTCCTGAATCTGGTGTTTCTTAAACATAAGCAGCTCAAAATCATTCTATGGCAAAGAATGATTTTGGAGTGGCATATTCTGCTCCCTTTCATCTTTTTGAGGTAAGTCTGTATCTATCATCTGGTAGGTTGATAGATCTATCATCTGTTAGTTCCCTTAGTAATGGTTCAGTAAAGCAGAAGCACAGTCCCTGGGAAGTGCAAGTGCTTCAAATTAAAAGTCCAGGATAATTATTTCTGCTTTTTACTTGATGGTGTGCACACACATATAAATGCCCACATGTACACATCACTTAGGGATTTAAGGGTAACATTATACTTCTTACCTCCAATCAGTCTACAAATTGAATTGAGACTAGTGACATATGCGAAAATATTGTCAAATATTCTGGGAACATCACACCCTCCCACCCCTGGTCTAGCATGCAAGAGAGCAAAGTCATCATCACAAACTTATAGTCTGAACAGTCTCCATTCTCTAACCTACACAGGAGCCTGGTGCCTGAAGATAAAGACAGTCTTTTCATATCCACTTATGACCAAGGAGCCAATATAGAAGATTTAACAATGGGCGCCCAGACTTTGCATCTTTAGAAGGGAAGAGTGCATTCTTTAGAAGGGAAGAGATTAAATATTGCATTGCCTTCCTCTAGCATCAGCGTATCTTTAGGTCAGGACAACTTCAAGCCAGAAGCCCTACTTATCAAGTATAATTACTCTCTTAATGTCCCTGACGCATTATTCCTACCTATGCAAACTAAACTCAAACTTATGCTTATTGGAACAGTTCTCACAAGATATAATGTGTCAGACTGCTTCCTGGATTTGAATCGTCACTTTGATTACACTTTGTCATTGAGACCTTATTTCCAGTTAACATATATGTATGCAACAACTTGTCAGCATTCCTGTATGGACACTAAGTCTTATCATTTAGGACAGTTACACTATTAGAACATTTCCGAGTATGAAGTTATTAAAGAGAATATCATCAATGCTGGAAAAGTTATGCTTATAGCTAATGTCTCTGGTCACAGCAACAGCAAGCCTTTAAAAACTAACTTAGGGCCTCCCTGATGGTGCAAGGGGTTGAGAAACAACCTATGAGGCAATCTGCAGCCATGGCAGCACAGTTTGATTCCCCACCAGGGAGCTACCCACATGGTGCAGCAGACCTCTCCTGATTTCACCTGCTGCTCCCCTCAGCAGTGTATTTCGGTTGGTCTGCCTATTCTGTTCCCCACTCTCCGTCTCTGGTGAATTCTCTCTCACTCCCCATACCTCTGGCCTGTGCCCCCACTCTTGTGTACATAGAGAGATGAATCTTAAAAATAAAATAAAATAAAAAAATAAAAACTAACTTACACTCAAAACATGAATGCAAATGCAACCATTTTGGTGGAACCTGACAAACTGGTATTAAAAATGTATCTGGAGGGCCTCCCCTAGTGGCGCAGCGGTTGAACGCTGGGCTGCGAGGCTGCCCACAGCCTCTGCAGCGCCAGTTCATTCCCTGGCTGCCAGTGAGGGTCCCACCAAAAAAAAAAAAAAAAAAAAAAATATATATATATATATATATATATATATATCTGGAACAGTAAAGGACCAGAAATAGCCAAGACAATTTTGCACAAGAGAACAGATAAAGGAAAGTATCTCTCTTAAGGATATCTAGAAACATCAACAACAAGCAAGACAACTCTGAAGATGTGGGGGTGGGACACCAGACACTAAAGGTCATGAATTGCTGCTGAACATCCAATGGGCATATGAAAAGGACCCACGCTAATCAGTAATCAGGGAAATTAAGTACTGCGGAATTTTGTTTGAAAACTTTGTACTTCTAGTACTAATTCTCTAAGTAATAATGTTTTCAAAATATACTGTTTACTGAGGAAGTGAGCTATCTGAAGTTTCCAAAGGTTGAGAGGCGTAGTCTTGGTGCTTAAGAATTCACTAAATATTACCACTCAAAGCTTTTGGTCAGCAGTGATTATATTGGGCTGGATATTGTCTGCTTTGACTGAAAGATCAGGATCTTGGCCAACTTACCTGATACCACACTTATATAGACCCAAAAGAGGGTATGAGCTAGCTGAGGGAAGGCTTATGGGTAATCTTTCCAGTTCTGTCCGACAAAAGAGAGGCAGAGTGAAGATCAGAAATTTTGTTTGACTCAATTTATTTGAGAAAAGGTATACATGGTTACATGGGGCAGTCATCTTACTAAGCAATCTAATTATACCATAGCAAGAAATAATTCTTACTTATAAAGAAATTAGTCATTACTCAAAATGGCCAACCAATTTTCTGGGGGAAAAAAAAGACTACAGTCAATTTCAAGAGGAAGCATTTTACTGTAAACATTTGTCTTCATAAATTATCTATCAGAATCCACAAAATGAAGGCAGAGACTGGGTAACAGGCAATTGAGTCAAGAGTCCAGTGAAGAGGCATAAGAAACATGAAAGGGAAGGAATTACTGTGGTGAAGCAGAAAGATACTCTAAAAACTATCATCAAGACCATATTTTCACTAAAGAAAATGTATGACAAAGAAGCAGACTATTTGGTCACTACAAAAATTAGTAAGGGAGTATTTTTAAAGTGCACATTCCCTGAAAAATTCATGTAATTAATACACATATTCATGTACAGAGACTGACCATTAAAAGTTTAACAATCTATCTGACCTTGTAACAAGTCCCAGACACAATTTCTGTAAGTTTCTGAGCATGGTTATAAAATTATTAACACTCAGAACATTTCAATGTAATTTACATTTTCATTTAAATGTTTTTCTACCCCCAAATTGGGAGCTTTGAGGAAGCCAATTGTATTATGATGACACAATAAGAAAAGTTGGGCATATCCAACATGTTCTATTTAACTACGCTTTGATTGTTACACTTATTACAAAGCTCTCACAGGGTTTCTTGTTACAAGAAGATCAGAAGGAACACACTAAGTTTTAGAGCAGTAATACGAAGTGAAATGTGTTCAGTGACAGGGATTTTTCAATTTGATAGATACATATCAAAGCAGTTTGTTAAACTATAGCAATTTGAATCTGTATAAAGTAATAAAAACCTTAAAAATATATTCATATCAACCTATAAAATTTGAAGTTACATGTCCTAGGTAGCTCTCTGGACAAATAAAAGTACTGTTTATTTTGAAAATGTTATAATGCTTTTAAAAAAGACTTAATCTGTAATTCTAAAGTAAAACTTTACAATGACATGGAATAACTTATTTTACAAACGAGAAAGTAAAAATGTTTCAATTAAAAATACAAAGAGGAAGTTTTGTTTGTAATAGAGTAGAATCCGGTATCTTGATCAGTCCAAATGCTGGGCTGTTTTAGGATAGCCCTGAAACAAACACTAAAATTTAGACTAACTGTGGCAGAAAGAAAAGAAGCATGAAGAAAAATTCTGCTAATAGGTGTACAGGTCAACATTTGAAAACACAGATTATAAGAATCATGAAAGTTTTAAGGATTGTTACCTTGATTAGATTAGTATTAGTAATAAGTAATTTCAAAAGTGTATTTCAAAGGATTGATCAGGAATTTGAATGGTCCCCTTTCATAATCTGTTAAAGGCGCTCTAAGTAATAATTACTGGGTAGCACCAAAGAAAATCAGACTGAACAAATTTTGTATTAAGTCCTGTATAAAGAATACATGCATGTTGTCTACATTTTCTACTTAAATCCTACAGAAATGAAGCAATCCAATTATTTTCGGTTAGAGTGCATTGACAGCTGCATAGCACCTCCAGAGAATGAGTATATTGGCCCTACAAAAATATGCCCTATATTCATTTCAACATTTTTTAAGGGCCTCTGTCACCTGTATGGTGATTCAAACTGAAGGTAGATGGAACAAATTCAACTTACTTAAGGTGAACTTCTGTCCCAATACTAGTAAAATGCTTAGTGGGAGAAAGATTGAAATACATCTACATAAATAATATCCTGTCATGCTTTGAGTAGTGTTTGTGGATCTAATTTTTTAAAGCTTTTCTAGTCTTGCTGATATCTGGTATTAGTGGAACCTGATACACAGGTATCTGAGGCTATCAGATGCAACCAGGAAAGGAAAACATCTTATAAACCAAAACTGGAGCTATCCTATCTTTTCACTCAAAAGAAGAAGATGGTACTCACAATCTGAAGACTCCCTGAGTTGTGGGTCTGCTGCATCTTATCCAAGGTCAAGCTCCACACCATCCAAACGTTCCAACAATCACTGGATGGCTCCTGTCTCATACAGCAGTGATTTTCAAAGCTTTTTTTTTTTTTTAAACTTCAAGTTGCAACAGGAAATAACCTTTTATATTGGGACCCAGTACACAGAGTTATAAAGTACTTAAGAAAATTTTCGGTAAACAATATTTAACTTTGTTACCTATGATATTTTCTTCTCTACTAGTTCACTTTTAAAATATGCTGGCCTTGAGTTGTTAAACTGATTTCATGACTTACTAATTGATTAAGACTTACAGCTTGAAAAGCACTGTCCTTGAGGATTTCAGTTAATCTTGGGGAAAGGTACAAAGCAAAAGCCCTAGAGCCCAAATAGATTTTTCTGAATTGTGTTGGCTGGAACATGAAACTCTCAGCCCAAAGTGGCTACTTCCATGGTCAGTGCATTTAGCATCCTCCTTCAGCTCTTGCAGATATGCTAACCCATTACCTTGTACCAATCTTTTTAATACAGGGGCCTTTGATTGGCCTGAAGATCAGCTATACTGACTAAATAATTATATAATAATGAGTAATAATAATGATGACTCAATAAGGTGCAGAAAACGCAGCCCTGAGTGAATTTACTGGGCAGCAATAGATAGCATGATATTTCTAAAAGAAGAATTAAATGCATATGAGATATTACTTCTATTGCTATGAGAAAAAATGATAATTATAATAGCAAATATAAGTTAAAGAAAAATTTCTTATATATTTGGAGGCCACAGGATAATTTAGGAATGGATTTGGATTATGGAGGAAAGAGGCTCAGGGAAGAATAGCCTACTGCTGTAATGATTATCTAGAAACCAGAGAATATCTCAGCTGCACTAAACTGAGTGAAGGAAATAGCCCAAGCTCTTGCTAACATTACAGAACAGTCAACACACACACACTATAACAGAGAAACCATCAGACACATGCACATGCTCTTTGGTTCAGACATATTTTATAAATATGAAGCATTCACAAGCTTCTTTTTGTAGCAGAAATCACAGCTAGTTCTCATGATCATAGTTTTCTGAAGGGGACTTGGCAGAGAACATTCTGATGTAGTTATCACATGCCAGGTATGCTAGAATGAAAAGCCTGGGGCTATAACAAATAATGCAAAGAAAGAAAGAACACAATACTTAGGACCTCATTCTATAGCAACTACCAAATAACTAAGACAAGCAGTTTTAAGAGTCATAAGTATAGTTAACATAATTCAAGGATGATTGTTTTCAATATAAGATTCTAGACTCTAACATTTAAAGAAAAATAGAGGAATATAGACTCAAATACTTAATTGTAAAATGTTATGCTAAAAAGATTCACACACTATCCAGTGATCTACTGATACTGTTTAGATTAAGACAATTGATAAACTACTGCTCTTGGACTGTGGAGCAGTTCCTTATGTAGCTTCTACTCTAGAGACAGAACAAGTGGTAAAAGGTGTTGATGGGTAGATGAGTGATCAAGAAAGAAAAGATATTTCTATGTTCTTATTGATAGAGAACAGGAAGGAAAGCACACTAGCTTGGCATGTGTACTTGTTAAAAGACCCACTCTTGCTGGCTTCCAGAGGATACTAGGAGAATTTCTATCCTTAATCATGGAACACAAGATGGAAGAAGGTACAGAGTTATGAGTTCTTTTTCTAGGAATAAAATGAAAATTGAGTAGGTAATGAGGTAGCTGGTTAATGACATGGATGAAACTGCAGTAAAGCAACATTGTGGATGAGGACAATTAGATGAAAATTTCCTCACTACATCTACTATTAGGTTTAATTCTAAAGTATACAAAATTGGAGGAGCTCAGAAACAGAAAACATACATGTTACTTTAACAAAGGTCATCATAGAAGAACACATCATCATGTGATTTGAAATTTATCATCTTTTTCAATTTATGTTCAGTAAAGGAAAAAAACATTTTGGAAAAAACTTGATAATAATGTTTTTGTAGTCAGAGGAAAGTCAATGGTATTTAGCAGCAAGATTTTGTCAAAAAGAAATAAAGTCTGGCATGCTGTTTATTTTAGCTTTTAGAAAAAGCAAGGATTTGAAAAGCCTGAGGAAAATTTCACATCCACTGACTATATAATCTCCAATTCCAAAGACAGGTTATAATAATTTGGTGGAACATACAACATGCATCAAATACACTGTATTATTCAAGAACTAAGACACTATCATTCTCTTCATATATTCATGCCCTTTCACTTGGAAAAGTCCTTTTATATTAAGGTAAAAGAATCTTGGGAAAAACCAAGAAAAAAACCCTATAACTTCATTGCTACTAACGTGCAGCCCGTGGTTTTTGATCTGATATGCTTTACATTCAAAAGCGTGATTCTCACTTTAATAACTATAGAGAAAGCCTACCAAAAATTCTCAATCTATTGCCAACAGGAAAGATTACTGGTTTAGAATGTAGGGTACAAAAATTTACTTGTAAAAGGGGTTTTTGAAGTATAACTCACTGAAGTATAACTCATTGTACCTAAGATGTTGGCAATTTTGTTTATTTCATATTACCAGTGAAAAGAAGTTGGTTTTGTTAAGGCTTTGGGAATTTTCCTTCAAAGTTAGCAACATATCAAAACATGACCTAGGTAAAACAAGTAGATCCTAAGGAGATTATTTGAGGAAATATTATTCTAAGGCTTCAAAATTTCTAGAGGGGCTTTTCCCTTTTTGGGTAATACTCATTTCTTCAAGCCTTTCTTCAGATGAGACTTGAGGGAATAGAATTCAATCTGTATTATGTAAAAAATACTGTATTTCATTGTCATGTATACATTTAATTCAAACCTGGCTTTTATTAAAAAAATAATGAAAATAATACCAAAATATTTATCTGTAAAAAGAACTCCAAGTTTCTAAGGAAACCAACACTAAAGTTCTTTACTTGATACTACTGAGGCAATATTTGATTTGATAATTTGTCTGTCACTCATTCAGAGAGTCTGAAGTAAGCATGGTAGAAGTTTAGAAAATGAACTAAGAAAAGTAAATTTAGCTCCATCCGGAAGCTAAACAGATGCAACTTCTTTACCACTACAGATAATCACCTGGAGCAAATATTTAAGATAAAAGAAAAATTATAATGCAATTAGAATTTTAATCAGACGCATGATTCAAGTTAGAAAAACAAAGGGATCCCCAAAGAATTGAAATATCTTAATTATATTGCTGTTTTACTTGATTTTTTTTTAGTACTTGAAATTACTTCTGTACTATACTTCCCAAACAAGTTTTGGAAGGTACACGATGGAAATTTGTAATGGTTTATTGCTGTGGGTCTTCAGGCAGTGTTCTCCATCATAGGCTGGGGGAAGGTTCTCTTGCTTCTTCTAGTTTGGTGAGGATCCACTGTTAATAGGGAAATAAACCAACATCTGTTTACTTCAGTGAACTTGCAATGAAACTCAAAATGAAATAAACGGAAACCTAGATGTTTGTTTTCCAGTTTAGTTATGTATATACTGAGAGACAATTCATCTTGCATAAGAGATCAGTCACTCAAATGGCCCAGACGGCACAGAGACAATGGTACTGGGTTTGATTTAACAGTAGGAATAATATTTTTCTAAGGTATTTGGTTATGGATGTTCATCTTCAGAATAAGTAAAATGAACCATCCTGAGAGACAAGAGTAATTGGGCACTTGAACTGAAAAATTCTGACTGTGTGAAAATTAACGATGCAAAATTCCTTCCATCTATGCCAATTTATATCATAAACCTTCACAATTCCATACATAGGATTCTACTGATTGAGCAGGAATAATTACAAGTAATTATTTAGTAGGTAGTAGCATAGCAACATTATTAAGCATTAGTTAGGTCCTCTTATGATACAGTTTCTATTGTGAAAGGATTTGAAATCACAAAAATAAAATCCAAGTGAATTGTAAACCTCAACCTATGTCTATTACTATTGGGCCTGTATGACAGATGAAAGCATTGGAGTTGACACTGACATTATCCCTTTATGAAGCACTCTAGTTGAGATATCTGTGCTTTTTTAACTTAAGAGGAACCTGGTAGGAACAGTTATTTGAGTTCAGTATTTTTTCCTGGATGTTTCTGGCAGAAGAGGATTAAAGACAAGCTTTCAGGCATAAAATAACATGGTAACAGAGATTAAATGGAAAATACATTACAGAGAAACTAAAGCAGGGATTAATGTCCTCTTTCAGCAACCTGAAAGAAGGCGGCCTGAAAGTCATGCTATATCCTGTCTCCGGCTTCCAGGTAATATGCATATTGAGGCTCAAGTCAGTTTATTCCATTTTCTTTCTAACTTGTTCCCCTTTCAATTTTACACTGTTAATGTGCCAGGGTCACTTTAAAACATCATTTCTAGAAAGAAAATCACACAGTACATCTCAGTGGTCCAATGTTCCAGGTTTAGAGTCCAGATGTGATTAAGTGAACTGGCTAACAGTCATACCTAGCTAGAACCAATTCAGTAAGAAATATGAGGGAGGGAGGTTTAGGGAGATTTAATAAAGAAGACCTATATCCCTATTAGAAGTTTCATAACACTGTGAGTACATTTCAGTATGAGGAATAGCATCTTAATTGTGATCACTGAGGTGGATAGTCAGTTCATAATCTTCCTGTTCTAGACAGTGTACATCCTCATAATTGCCATAATCCCTAACATATACATAGTGTTTTTCAGTTCAGATCATGCCCATTTTGAGGAAACAGAGGTTAACAGACATCCCCAAGGTCCTACAGTCCAGAAGTAACAGAACTAACATTTAAATCAGATTTTCTGATTACAGGTATGGATCCTTTTGCCTTGTTATGGTAATTTTTAAAAATCACTATATCTATACAGTAGAGAAATCAACAATGAAGGGATGTAATTTCCACATTCAAGCTAGTAAACTGGAATATGAATGAACTTGTATCTTTTTGTTGACTTTTTTAAACAAAGTATTACTATTAGGATTTAAAACAAGGTACTTAATATAAGAAACCGGTATGAAAAAAAAAGAAAGAAAGAAACCGGTATGTGTGTTGAATTCAACCTAATGAAAAATAGTTTGGGGAAAATATGATCTAGATACACATGTGAAAACTGTCAAAAACCAAAATTAATAACAAAACATAGTTGCCTTATAAAATGCCCAACTTAAGTGGTTTTGAAAATGACAAGCTGCTCTCTGTTTAAGGAAAAAGGTTCATTATATTTACCCTAGCATCCTCTGGGGTCTTGAAGTTAATTATCTTTCCAAATTCTTTGGCATGGAATACGGACTTCACTCGTTCCTATAAAGAAAGGAAACAACTTCACTGAAATGAAAATCCAGTTATAGAAACAGGATAAAGAGATAATACACAGCTTCATAAATCTGTGCTTAATGTAGAGTCTTACACATACTCTACACCTTTAAAAAAGCTAAGAATGGAAACCAAAAAAAAAAAAAAATCAAACACAAATGGAAAAAACTAAATTCTAAATTTAGTAATCCATTATCACTAAGCCTAAGTTAAAAATCTTGGGTGAGATTCCAATTGCTAAAGACAGAAGATGGGATGAAGATAAGTCTGGGAAGAGCATCAGTGTTTATCTTCTATTCTCCCAACTAAGGACAAATTTTCAGACAACTCTTGATATCTTGCTATGGAATCATGATGAGTTCAGCTCAAAAATAATCGACACACGTGTATATACAGATATACATTCACATTTATGTTGCACGGTTGTGCATGCATGCATGTGGGTATGCAGCTTCTGACATTTTACATCAGTCATACAATAAGAATATGGTTAAGAATCAAAGAAATTGGGGTAGGCCCTAGTTTCTATATGATTGTCACCTTTAGCATCCTGTTCAGCATTTGCAGGGAAAAAACTGTACAAGAGGTGGATGTTAAGTATTAGAGGGACAAATAGAAAAAAAAAATGTGATTATTGAGGAGAAGGGTATTGTTTACCTCTATTAACTATGGGCAGGGTCTCAGAAGAAGCAATGTGGAAGTTTTACTAGTGTGACAATTCTGTAATACATATATCCATGTAAAAAAAGACCCAGAAGAAATCAGATTCTTTTATTAAAAACAAAACAAAAAAGATGTGATTACTGACACAAGGGCTCAAGAAAAGGCAAAAGGGAAGGAAATCAATGAGATAATAAGATTATCCTTAGATAGGGAAAAAGATGAACCCAGCGAAAGGACGAGAGCAAGGGCTAACTGCCACTATCTATAATTTCATATGAAGACACAGGGCCTTTCATTTTCTGAGTGAGTCAGAGACATTTTTAATGGGTAAGTTAGTCTATGATCCTCAAGAACTAATATCCAGTCTACTCAAGAGCTACCTCATGTCTTTGAAATGAATACTAAGATTGGAGAAATGGTCTTCACTGGTTAAAACAGGTCCCAAGGATAGTTCTGTTCTATAGGATAGCACAGAAGACATGTTGTTCCTGCATGCCTGTTTGTAATACCCATTCTTACAATAACAATATCTTGACTCTTCTAGGTAACTATTTCTCATTTTCTCTCACTCAAAAATACTTAAGATAGAGCTGACCTTTTCTTCTCAGTAGCACATGGTGATTCCATAACCCTTACCTGTCCAACTGACCTCTAAGCTCCCTGACCAAAGTGACTGGTACCGTAACAACCAAGTGACTAAAGGCAGCCAAATGAGACACAGTGAGAAGTTCTCATTCCATTGAGTTAGTAGGATACAAGCCTACAACTTCTGATAGCCACTGTGTCACCAAAGGATAGCCTTCTTGAGAATGAAGCCAACAATGAAGAATATAGACCCTAAAGATGAGGTAAGCAAAGGAGGAGAGGAGAGGAAGGAGAATAATTAAGAATGATATGATTTGCATATCTAACCTACAAAATACACACTTAGACTTTTCAGTTACATGAGTCAATTAAATTCCTCAAAATAAAACAGAAATAACAGAATAAAGCTTACTTGGGTTGAGTTATATACTATCTTTCTACTAATACAACCAATGACAAAATGGCCCTCCACATAGGTTAAATATCTTGAGGTTAAATATGTATCTTACATTTCTTTGATCACTTGCAATACCTACTGCAATCATTACAACTTAGAATCAATTTTACTCTCTATTGATTTTACCAAATACTAGCAATTCACTCTATTTTATTGCAACCAAGTACTAGGCCCTATAGCTACTAGTAATCAAAGTAGAGTGAGAATGCTCTGCCTTAAAGAAGATAACAGAAGACGAGATAATATCTATAAAAAAGGAAAGGCCTATCAATAATGACCTATTAGAGAGAAAATTCACCAAGAGTCTATTAATGAGATTTTTTCCAAGGAAAAACATTCTTTAGGAAATGTCTAGGTTTTCTCAGGTTTTCAAATGTTTTCCCCAATTTAGTCACTTGGATAGCAGTGGGGAAAGTGGAATTCTGTTACTGAATATAACATGTAGGTCCAGGAATGCAATTGTCAGTGTAATAGCAAATAAAGTTAACAAAGCTTTGCGTGGCCTAGCTTTTGTTTCTTTAAGCCTGCATAAGAAAGTATTATAAGGAAAATCATACAAAGACAAAGCACCATCTATAAAAAAGTTACCTCTTATAGATAGTAAAATGTACTTTCATAGCAGTAAAATGCACTGTAGATCTCTGTGATTTGTGATGGGGTTCTATCCCAATCAAACCATAAGTTTAAAATGTATTTAATACACCCAATCTACTAAACACGATAGCTTAGCTTTGCCTACCTAAAAGCCTAAGAACACTTATGTTAGCCTCTAGTTGGACACTCATCTAACACAAAGTCTTTTTTGATAATGAAGTACTGAAATGCTGAATCCTAACCACTAGACCACCTAGTGGGAGCATTATAATAAAGTGCTGAGTATCTCATATAATTTGTTAAGTGAAAAATTGGAGAATATCAGTTGTTTACCCTTAAGATCATGTAGCTGACTGGCAGCTCCAGTTCACTATCACTGCCCAGCTTCACAAGAGTATAGTACTGGTATCACTGTCCCAGAAAAAGATCAAAATTCAAAGGTTTCTGCTGAATGCATTCCACTATCACACAATGGTAAAGTAAAAAAATCCTAAGTTGAATTATCCTAAAATTGGGCACCATCTGCATTTCAATGTATTATTTTCACTTCCAAGTTTAAAAAAAAAATCTATTCACATACCTTAGCTTCAATGCGTAATCTTCTCCCATGAACGATGAATGGCTCTTTGGTAAACTCATCAAAACTATACTGCCACTCACATGTAAGCTGACCAAATGTACCTTTTGTTACAAACAACACACCACTATGGGAAAAAAAAAAGGGAAAAAAAATCTACTTAAAAAAAATTGAGGCATTTATATTCAATAATATAATTACAATAGGGTATACGTTGTATGAAAGTGTGCACAGCACAACAACTATGTTCTGGATTACAGAAAACCTTAATGACTATAAGAAACTATACAAAGTATGTTCTCAAGTAATAATGAAATTAAATTAGGAACTTGTTTTAGAAAGATACAAGAATATTTCCAAATGCTTGCAAATTAGCATAGTTCTAAATAATTGGGTCAAAGAATCTCAAAGGAAACAAAATATTTTGAATTTAATGAGTGAAAATATAACACAAAATTTATAGGGTGCAGCTAAAGCCATATTCAGGGGGAAATTTACAGCATAACATGCTTATATTTGATAATTAAAGTACTTATAAAATTATATTTATAGAAGGCATTTTGTAAGAAACAGGAGAAATTTACAATTGTCAACCAATATTTTGGAGAATTATTCATGTCATTAATGCTTTAGAATTAATTAAGCTTGTGTTACTAAGAAAGATACCACATAATGTATTTATCAAACTACATCAGAAAAAGGCTTTTAAAATTCATTCATGTTTTCTCTTCATTTTGACAGAAGAAATCAAAAAATGAAAATGCTTTTTGTCTATAACTCTACTTAATCCTGCCTTTAAAGGTTTTTCTCCCACCAATTAATTGTATATACTGAGGTTTCTTCAAATAACACATAATTAAAGTCAAATGTTTAAGTTAAAGAAAAGCTGGATTGGAAAAAGGAAAGCTATTCAGGATCACCTGACTCTGATGTCCTTTTTCCTGGATTATAGGGGTTATCAGAACATACCTTTTCCCCTCCAGCTGAACAATAATGACTCCTGTAAACACTGGCCTCTCTGTGTATATTTGCATCTACCCCTCCTCTACTATCCTTTTAACCCATTAACAAATTATATTGCTAAAAGTTACCTTTTGGTGATCATGAACATATCTGTTTTATTGATCATGACATGTGTGAAATATTTGTATTTTGCAAATCTCCCATTTTCCATGACCTAAAAAAAAAAAGTGAGAGTGAGAAAATTGTTAATATTCCTATTCTAATATAACTGGTGCCCTATACGGTAAAAACCATTTTCTTAGTGAGGGCAGATTATTAATATATTTATATAGGAAATATACCATCAGAAAATTGAATATTCACAAATTCAATGCTGTTTCCTCCCTAAAAGCATCTGTCTGTACTGATTTATTCAAGATTAGTCAGTTGCAGGTAGATTTTTAAAATTTTTTTTTTTTTTAATTTTTAAAAAAAAATTTTTTTTTTTTAGAGGCATGTTTTATTTATTTGTTTGTTTGTTTTTTGTTTATACATGCACTGGATACAGTCAGAAGCACGGGAGGGTGAGAGAATTCACCAGAGACAGAGTGGGGAGCAGAGCAGGCAGAAGGACCGAAGTACACTGCTGAGGGGAGCAGCGGGCGGCAGGAGAGGTCTGCGCGCCATGTGGGACCCTCCTCTGGTGGCCGGGGAGCAGCCGGGGATCGAACCGGCACTGCAGAGGCCGCGGGCAGCTTCGCAACCCAACGCTCAACCGCTGCGCCACCAGGGAGGCCCCAGGTAGATTTTTTAATAGTAGAGTCTTAGAAAGTTTAAAATGAACCTATTGAAATTACTACTGAAACTGGTAACATTCATTTTATATATTCTTATGTGATTACATCTGTACGAAAACATATAAACATACATATAACATAAATTACTGCTAACCCCCATTTAGCATCTTCCTGGAATTTCTCTATTTGCCATATAAACAAGCTTTTCTTTGGCAAACTTATAATTCATTAAAAAGTGAGCTGACCATTATCAAACAAACTGTAAACTCCAGGAACTACTTTACCTATACGTTGCCTTTAAGTTTATTTTTAAGACTGCTGAAACATTATCTCCCCATGACATCTTCAGTAATTTCTTTGCCCCAGAAAATAACTATGGAAAAGATAAACTATATACAAGAAGGACAGCTATATAAACAAAATTGTATTTTAAATTATGTTCTCAATACCACTTGCTCTAAGGATAGTTACTTTAGCTATTAAAACAGATAGCCGACTAGACCATTATTTTTTTAAAGGCAAGCAATGTAAATGTGACTGAAACCCCTCAAGGAAGGTATGTTAAAGCTTTAGCCAAAAATGCTAGATCTTTTGAAGAAATTCCAAAAAAGGATATAAAAATTTTAGAAAATTGTTTTCATGACACTATATTAAGAACAAATTATTTAGCTTAGAAGCAAGCTAACAAATGACTTCATAATAATCCTGGTTCAGAGGCTGATGGAATGGTCTTAATTTTAATTGGAAATAGAAGTGAAAAGAAAAGCTCCCCCCCCACCCAACCCGGTCAAACTACAACTACAATAACAGGATATTATAATTAAATGTATTTTCTAGTTTCAAAGACCACAATATTGAGGAAAGAGTATCTTTACTGTCTACTATAGTAGGTAGAATAAGTAAAGACAAATTCCTTGAATTACAAATGAAAAAAACAATAAACCCACAAATGCAGATGACATAAGAATTATTAGATAACATATCAAATACCAATAAAGAAAAGAAATAATTTGCACATGACAGTATATCTGGAAAATCTAGTACAGAAAATCCAGTATCTTTATTTTATAAACACAATAATCAACTTGAGAAGTTTAAGGGGAAAAATTCCTGTTTACAAGGATAATAAAATATGTCTACTTGTAAGTTTAAAGAATAAAAAGCAAAATTTATGAGATAAAACCAGTAATACTCTTAAAAGGAGCAACAAAAAATTTGAAAATGGAAATCTATGCCTAATTCTTAGATAAAAAATGCATCAAAATAAAGATGTTATCCCATCCTCACCCCCGCCAATTTTATACACACACAGACCTACACCATGATCCCAAGATGTTGTTTGTTAGGTTGTTTTTTGGTCAGGGGAGAAGCAATTAGACATAACTATGGTGAAATTCAACTAGGAAAAAAAGTGGTAACAACCATTAAATTATGAAAGGAGAGTGAGAAATAACCCTGCAGATGTTAATACCACACAATTGCAGTAGTGAAATCAGTTCAAGTTAGTGGAGTATATACAAAGTTCAGAAATTGACCAAAATGCATGTAGAAATTTATAAAATTCTATTTCCCTAAACACACATGAACGTATGAAATCAAGACAGCACTTCAAATTAATATATGGGCAAAAGCATGTATTATCGAATAAATGGTATTTCAGGCAATTCCCTCACAAAAGCTGCACCCACTCTTTTTATATCAAATTAATTCTATATGGATCACTGCTTTAATATACAAAATGAGATTACAGAAGTACTAAAAAGAATATTTAATATTCAAATGGGTAAAGCTTAAATATTAAAGAAAAAGTCCATAAAACCTAACATGAAGAAATTGATAACTGCATAGAAATTAAACACTAAAGAATAGTGTAACAACAGCAAATAAGAACTCAAGTAAAACAATACAAAAATCAGAGGATAAATTGGGAAAATATTTGTCAGTACAGAGATATAGCTAACTTCATAACAGAGAATTCTAGCCATTTAAATAAGCCAATAGATGAAAATTGAGTACCAATGGGAAAATGTAGAGTATATGAACAGATCGTTCAGCAAAAAAACACAAAATCTGAGCAATAAAAATGAGAAAATGTCCAAATTAAAAAATGCAAATCAATTAAAATATAACCTTTGTGCAAATAATTAAACTGACAGAATTCATCTTATGCAAGAGCATGTTAAAAGTAAAAAATCTAAATATTCATTAACAGGGAAGTGTATAAATGAGTACTAGAATAGTTCTATAACGGGACATTATACAATCATGAAATAGATCTGCGTGTATGTCAGGCACAAAAGATCTCGTCCTGCCCCTCCTTCCCTGTGTTCTTCTCAGGCTGAATGAATAATTAAAGCAGCATCAGATGGGTTAGCAAAGGAAAAAAATTTAGTAACATAACATACATATGGAGAATTCACAGGTGGTAAATTTTAATAAATAATGGAGTGGACCACACATATTTATTCTGCATTTCAGAGCATGAGGCATCAAGGACAGAGATGGGGAGACTTCATATGGCAGATAAGAAGGGGTAATCTCATCCTTAGTGAGTGTTAACATGAAAAATTTTAGATAGAATATGTTCACTGACAAATCTAGAATTGGGTGAGACCCTAATCTACATTCTTCAGGTGATAAACTAGAAAGCAATGAGGTCTGGAATTAAAGGCAAACGTTTAGGGTATATTGGTCACTTGTTCGATAAGGCAAAGGACTTAGCAAGAAGAGAAACTTCTACTAGCTTTCAGGACCCTCACTACTTTCATCTCTAATCAATCAGCATTCTTCAAGTAATGGCAGTAGACCTCTGAGGCTCACAGGGCCTTAACTGACCTCCATTTCCCCTTACCAAGATGACAAGAGGGCTACTCTGGGCTGACTGAGAAAAGTCCATTTGACTTTTGAGACTGACCCAACAGTATTTATATAGAAAGCTGTGCAAGATGTATAAAATGAACAGAAATTTAATTGCTGAGATAGAATGGGTTGGAGAGGGGAAAAAAAACAAACATGTATTCTCATTTTACATATGCACAGGAAATTTCTGCAAGTTTTGAATGGTAACAGACTAATCTGTTCACAGCACTTACCTCTGGGAAGGTAATACCGGGTGGAAGGGAAACTTACTTTTTATTTCTAAATCATTTTGCATTGTTTTGGTATTTGAAATGATCTTCAAAGTATTTTCTTTTGCTCTGTTAAATATATGGTCAAGTTTTAAAGACTACAAACCTTGATCTCAAGACCATCCCTACTACTAGGAGTCAAGAGTCTATAAAACCCATTAATAGATCACAACCTTCAAATACTTAGTCTAAGCACCAAGCTTCTGTTTTACTACTATGTAAACTATAGTCATTGCAGTTGAGCTTACCACTCATCTCTTTCCACTTTTCAGACCTAATTTAAGTAAAACATAACATCTCTATATGCCAATTGCAACAGTTACAACAGTATCTGGAATAAAAAAAGTTTAAGACGGTCCTTTAAAAAGTATTTCATGCAAAGTTTTTTGAAGTTCATTAAAAACCTTATATGCAACACCTGAAAGATGAATGAACATTATGGCTATAGTGGTTTACTTTGAGACATATAATGAACTGTATTCTTTGTTATTAGAATGGATATATTATAATAAATGCCAAAGATAAATCCTCATACAGCAGGTCAATCTCCATTACAAACATGGAAATATGAAATAATATTATAAGCAGAAGCTAAAATTTTGGAACTAAATCTGAGAGAGGCATTGAAGAAAAGATAGCAGGTTTTGAGTCGGGATCTGCCAGCATACTATGAAAGAGTCTACAAATGCATGTCTTTGGTTACAATTTTCTATCTCATTATTGACTTCATAAATTCACTATATATGAAGCTTTACATATTTCAAAACGTCATTTTACATTAGGCAAAATTTTAAACCTGAAGGAATATTACTGTCCAACCAAAATCAATCTCTTTTACACACAAAGAAACTAAGAATTAGGTAAAGGGTCTTATCCATCTAATCTTCACAACACTCTTGTCTAATTAGCTAAGATCACAGTTAAGTGACTTGCTTGGGGTCATATTGATAGTTGCCAAACTGGGCTCAAACTAGTGGTTTCTTTACTTTTAATGCCAGTGCTTTCACTCTACCATGTTTCCTCTTATGGCATCTGTCATACATTTCTCATGGTACCTTAAAATTGTCAATAGCTCCAGATGCTGGGTGTTGCAAGGGCAGTTTGCTAAAGTAGTTCTATTGGCTGAATTTTTTTTTTTTTTTTTTTTATAGAGGCATGCTTTATTTATTTGTTTGCTGGTTTCTTTGTTTGTTTTGTTTATACATGCACTGGGTACAGTCAGAAGCGCGGGAGGGCGAGAGAATTCACCAGAGCCAGAGCGGGGAGCAGAGCAGGCAGAAGGACCGAAGTACACTGCTGAGGGGAGCAGC